GATAATAATCCGACGAGCTACAATAAAAATTAGATCAATGTTTTTTTTTCTATCTTCTATTTGATTTCAATTTTAATTACATACCACTGCATTCCATCCAATAGGTGAACCATAAAAATATGATACTACATAAGGCGCTACTACTGGACATGGTTTTTCAACAAGCATTGATACATTGACTAGTTGATTATTTGTAGTATTGTTATTAAAGTTATTTGGAAATACTGACGACATTTTAGATATAGAACTATTGTCTTTATGTTAAAGAAATGATGAAATGGCAACCTAAGTTTGCTTTTCTTTCTATAAATATGAAATGAATCGAAAGAAGTAGCGAAACGAAAGAAATAGAAAAAAGAGAGAGAGGGAACGCGAGTGAAAGAAGGAGAGAGAGAGGGAGAGAAAGAAAGATGAAGCCGTCGGATGCCTGCCTACTTTGTCTTTTGTTTCGAATGACTGACTGACTGACTGGATATGTGAGAAGAAAAACAGCGGACGAAACGCGTATGAATAAACGAGCAAACCGTTGAACAGACAATTTGAAATGTGTATATATAAGAAAGCAAATGTTGTTAAGCATTGCAGATTAATCTGAATAAGTTATCTCTTCGAAAATTAATTGTTCCTCAGGCATAAGAAAAAAAAAAAAATAACAATTTGTTTGTAATGGATTTTCACACACAAAATTTTGAATCTTGATATGAATAAGATATATATTAAAAATCTTTCATCAGTATTAATATAATTGACAGATAGAAAAATATTAGATGCTATCAATCATTTTATGTATGTATATAATGAGATAAATGATAAGAAAGTAAATATGATGAGTATATTAGCTGAATAATATGATAATATAAGATGCAAAAATCAGAAATTGTGATATATGTAAATCACTGAGAAGTAGTTAAAGAATAATAGCATAAGGAAACCAACATATTGTATATACTCCTGAAATTGAAATCATTTTTCTAGCACGACGTCATTAAAAATGTTGCAGATTTCGTTTTTGTATAGTAAATCTTATAGATAAAAGAATACAAGCTATTATTGTATTTACAGTTGGAACAAAATACTTGAACATATATAAAAAATAGAATAAGATTCGGTAATAAAAGTGCACATGTATAACTACATACAAAATACAAATAACGAAGATGAATTTGTGGACATCCTATAAAAAAAGGTGTGGGTGTATTAGTCATTCTTCTCTCATAATAGACACCCTTCTCGTCTATTTAAAAACAAAAAGAAGAGTTTAGATAAAAGCATGATATGAAAATTCTTGACTATTGCTTATTCTCATGAACTATATACATCATGATGAATTTTCATAAATAGAATACTATACATAGACAGTTCTAGAGTACTAATTAGTAATATAATAGAAGAAAGAGGGTTGATGTAAGTATATTTATCTTTTATATTATTTAGGTCCAATATATATATAAATAAATTCATTACGTCTTCGTGATAAACTTTCTAATCTTCCTGATAAAGATCAGATACTTCGAATAAATATCTTTCAAGAACTTATTCTAAAACGATTTGTTGAATTTTATTTTTAGTTATGGTTTTATTTTAAATGCTTGTGCCAGTTATAAAAATGAAAAGATTTATTATGTTCATATAATATCGAATGTTTATAATGCTCATTATAAAAATCGTCCAACACATGTTGTATCAACAGGAATAACTTCTGATGATCAATTATCTCCACTTGATTATGGATTTTATTGGTGTTAGAATTTTTGTTTGGGGAAAAAATGGCAAAGTTCTCAAACAGATGAAGAAAAATATCAAAATATTATGTTAGTTGATTTTCGAGCATTTTGTGCCAATGAAAATAATCGTTTAGTTAATTTTTGGAATGAATTAAATGATTTACCAAATCAAAAAATAAATGAAAAACTACGAGAATCTTCTGATGATAATCAATCCAATACAGAATCAAATGCCTACTCTTTCTCTAATTTTTTTTTATAATATATATTTTGTGTGTATATGCCAGTAATTGTTATGCATTTTGACTTTTGTGATAAAACAAAATAAATAAAGTGTCTTAACACAGTAATAAATTCTTTGAAAAATGAAACTTTGCTGGTTTTGAATTATTTTATATGCTAAATATTTTTCAAGTTAATTAATAATGTTTTGTACATAATGAAGGGTGTGAGGAAGTACGCTTATGAGCAAAGATATGGAAAGTATAGTCATCTTTCATTCACACCCTCACCTATCAATTTCAATCAGAGATATTATTTTCAGAGTTTTGCTTTTGCGTATATTGATTTTCGGGTTGAATTCATGTACCTTTTTCATGTTTCTTAGAAAAATACATCGTATCGTAATGAATAATTCTGTTTTTTATATATCAGATACAAAAATACTTACAGTGCATAAAGAAACAAAGAACGTGATTAAAAGTGAATCCTGACAAAGCATATTATTTAACAGAGCCTGACAAAATAATATCAAAGTATTCATGACTTATTCATTGACGTCAATCATGTATTGACGATGATAGTTGATATCTTATTTTGAGTTAAAACACGTCCGATGATTAATGCAGATTTTGATCAATTCTCTCCTGCCTCTTGGTCACGTTCTTCTTCATTAAAATCTTTCGATTTTCTATAAAATGAAAAAAAAAGAGAAGAGGATCATGTCGAATTTGGAAAAGAATAAACTTCAATGAAAAATATGAAATTAAATGATCAATTTTGATCGTTAATCCAATTTAAAACAAATTTTTTTTATCTACGGCGAAACTTTCTCTAGAACACTATTTTTTCTCTTTGTGTGCTATGTTGGGAGAAATGAATATGAGAAAGAGATAGAGAGAGAAAGAGAGTTATATAACTACCGAGAAAATCTACAACGAGTGTCACTATATTTTCATCGAAGACAAAGAAGACGATTATTTTATTAGTTAACTAATTTATCAAAAAATCTAGTTGAATGATGTGGAAAATCTACATATTTATCACTATTCTTCTGTTCATTCCCAACAATGAAACATCAGGTAAATACTTTTATTTCTTATATACTCAAAGTCAGCTATTGCATAAAAATGACATTATTGACTAGAGTTTTAGCTGAACAAAAGAGTATCAAATAACAGATTCTATAATTTGACAGAAATTTCTGTTATATCTTCAAAGTTGATGGCTCTGATCTCTTGCAGCGGCTATGTGAGACTTTTCGCGATTTGAAGAATGTGTGTACTATAAGTTTGAAAGTATACGTTAGAATACTGACTGATAGTACTGTAGATATCTGAGTTTTTATCGATTAATAGTTTCAAAACGATTGAGAACTTGAACATTACTGAAATATTCTCTCCATATCAAATTTATTTCTAGATCTTTAGACGAGAATCAGATACAAGAAAAAAGAAATAAATTTATTTCATCATATCACATTATAACATATAGAAAAAAGGGATTATTTGACTTTTCCAGATGAAATCAAAATGAAAAAAAGAAAAGATGAACAGATTAATGTAAATGAAAACAAAATGTTGTGATATTATTTGACTATTTCGATTTCAGATAAAATGTACATCCATTTATCTCATACAAATCATCTTCATTATATAAAAAATACTATGAGTATGATAAAATGATTCTATTGTATTTGATGTACTTAAAGACTTTTATGTATTAAAATAGAAGTGACGAACCAGATTAGTTGATCATTCACTTCTATAAATATAACATTTACTCTTATAGAAAATGTAAAGGATTTAAAACTTTTGAACTGCACAAAACGAAAGAATCTTTTTTTTGGAATATATGAAATTATCTCGTAGAAATGATAAATTTTCTTCATTGACGCTTTGAAGATACGATTACTTGTGAGAAAATATGAACTTTTAAGCTGTAGAAATGAATACATCTGCTAGACAGAAAGAAAGAGCACAAATCATATGATAATGCAGAACTACTTTGCGAGTGCAAAGTAGTGATTGACACTACCATTATTATCACTAGACTATCATAAAAGAATATTGTTGAGTAAGACAACATTTGAATCAAAGGTCAAATATTTATAAGTTTTTCTCATGTTTAAAAGGAATCGATGATTATAGAAATTGTTTTCTCAAAATATTCAAGTTGAAATAATGAGAGGAAAAAACAGAAGAAGAGAAAAAGTTTGATTAAATTCAGTTATTATTTAACAAAAAAGTTAAAGAAAATTGATTATGTTCAATATAAGTCTCCTTGAGATCGATTTCAAATTTTTTCTTTTTTTTAATTTGATGAGACTGCAAAAGAAACAAAAATATATTATTGATAAGAAAAAAAAAGAATATTTTCATTTGATTTTTTTCTGAAAATATTTTTCTTACATAATTTCTTTGAATTATTATTTCATTAAAGATTGACAAGAGAATTTTTTCTTCTTTTTCATATATTAGATTCAATTGAAATGATTTAACATCAGTACATTCACAATGTTTTTCATATAAAAAGGAGAATTGATTTTGAATTTTAATAGCATTTTGTGTAGATCTCAATCACTTTCAATAAAGTCACTTTCATTCTACACAATTCTTTTTTCCTCCTGTGATTTCATTATCGTTGAATAAATAGAAAAAGTTATTTGATTATTTTTTTTGTTTTCAGTGATAATCATATCTTTTTAAGGGTTGAACATAGTTATTTTTTGCAACAGAACTAATCAGTAAAATAAAGATGATCTTCTTCGATGAACTCAGCCCTCTTTAAGTTGATATTTATAAATCATGCGAGAAAATAGAACAACAATTATTAAGATCTCTTGAAAATTAATCCTAATGAATTTTTCCAAGAAAGCACATAAATTAACAATTTTATTTCGTTTACAGTTCTTCTCTAATATTCTTTCTATTTTTCTTGTTTTTAGCACTTTCATTCAATCAACCAAAGTTTTGTCCAACACCCATTTGGGATTCCAGTGGAATTACCATTGCTAATCGATCGATTGTTGGTCACTATCCTCTCGCCATTTTTGTGAGCACAAACAACACAATCTATGTCGCTAATAAAGAAAATAACACAATTGTAATATGGCACGAAGAGAGTGTCAATCCAACAAAGATCATTTCAGGTAGTTTTAGAGAACCCATTTCTCTCTTCGTGACATCGAATGGTGACATTTACATTGGTGATGGCGAGAAGAATGGTCGAGTACAGAAATGGGTCATAGAAACAAATACTTTTGTCACGGTGATGAATGTTAGTTTTCCATGTGATGGTTTATTTGTCGATATCAATGATACTCTTTACTGTTCAATGGCTGAGCATAATCAAGTAGTGAAAAGATCATTAAATGATGCAGTGATGGCTTCAGATTGTGTTGCTGCTGGAACAGGTATTTACGGTGATGACTCGAATCAACTCGCTAATCCATACGGAATCTTTGTCGATATGAATTTTGATTTATATGTAGCAGATTGTGGAAATGACCGAGTTCAGTTGTTCCAGTCGGGAGAATCAAATGGCATCACAGTAGCTGGAAGTACATCACTAAATCCAACAATTATGCTGAGTAATCCAAGTGGAATTTTATTAGATGCTGAGAAATATTTATTCATTGTGGATTATGGCAATAGTCGCATTGTTGGTTCAGATGTGAATGGCTTTCGATGTTTAGTTGGATGTTACGGAATGGGTTCACAATCCAATCAATTGGCTAATCCATTTAGTTTGAGTTTTGATCGTTCTGGAAACATGTTTGTTACTGATCAAGACAATGATCGAATTCAAAAATTTCAATATTTCGAAGAATCATGTGGTAAGTTTAGAATAATCGAATAAAACCTTCGACATCATTTCAATCAATAGTTATGCAGAAAATTAAAAAGAAAAACTATGATAGAATATGAAAATGAAAGTGAAACTCCTCAAGAATTTCGAGCTGAATTATTAAATAGTTAAGTTCAAATTCCAAGTTTCATTCTAATATACTATTGTTATAAAGTAAAAACCTTGCGCATTTGTAATTCTCTACAAAAGACAATCGATAACATTATCATCATGTTAGACGTATGATACAGATGGAAATTAGAATGTCTATGTATCTAGTAGGAAAATCAGAGACAAATGCAGTCCTTTTTGTTCAACTTTACAAATTTTCTTTCATTCACCATTATCTGCGCTTACTTACCGCTGCTGACTGTAGAAAATAATGAACACAATGCTTTTATGAAACATAAGACACTCATGAGAAGGAAAGTTTTCATCGAAATTTATTGAATCTTTATCGAACTAAAAACACTTCGAAGTCAATAAAGATGTGAAGAAAAATTTTCAGCGTCAAATTCTGTATTTGAGAACAAAAAAAGTTTCACAAATTGCTTTGAAATCAACAAAAAGTCGGTTTGCATAGTTGTTCAATGTGCTGTCAAATTCGTAGATATAAAACATCTGTCTGAGATAAGTAACCCTATGCTCGAGTGTTAACCACAACTTGTGGCGCAATCATAGAGATTCAGAATGTCACCTTTTTACTCTCGAGATGAGAAAACGATTATGTTCCATTTGCGGTCATGATTTTGGTTAACGGACGAGAATAGAATCAGGATTATCATAAAGAAGTGACATTTAAATGTAGGTCAGTATCTTCGCCGAAAAATGCCAACAACGGGAAGAAGGAAAAAGCTCCATCCTTACCTGGTTATTCAGGAAGCGCTTTATTAGAATAAAAAATAGTTAAAGAGTCGCTCTTGTAACATAGTAATTATGAATTAAAAGTTACTTCCAATCGACATTTTCTCGATGATGTCATTGCATACTTGTAGATTGACTAGAACTTTATGAAATAGTTTCATCAGATAGTTTATTGTTATGCTTACTAATATCGATGAAAAAACTAATGTTCTGCATTATATTTATAAAGGAAAAACGTTTGAAGATAAAGATGATAATGGAGAAGACATAAACTTGTAAGTGTATGACTTACCAGGCTTTCTTAGTTTAGAATGGTACTCGTTTTTGTATACGAGATTTTCTAAAATTTCTTTATTGTAATTATTACAACATCTCTTGAAAAGAAAATGCGGATTCTAAGGACTAATATCGATAGTTATCGTAAGGACGCTAAATAGATAATTTGTTTCATGTTTTTCTTTAATTCTCTATTAAAAGTATTGTTCTAAAACAAACGATTCAACTCTCTTTAGTGAACAGAGTGAAAAGCAAA